GAGCAAGTTTTTGTAAATGAACACAACTAATCTTTCAGAGAACTAAAGCCTCAACCATAAATCTAAAGAGCTACTTAATTCTCTTTGAAGTCATTAATCAAAATATATTCTTAGCCAAACATCCAAAAACAATACAATGTGAACAAAAAACTGTTAACTAATTAAAATCTCTTTGTCTTGGCTTCCTAGGTCATTTAAAAGACTACTTAACTTAAACAATATAAAATATTTAGAAGAATTAAAGGATTACTTTTAGTCGGGCAATCCAGAAAGTATCAAGATAAGAACTTCTGTGTATAGTTTATAGTTTGCAGTAATGATGGGTAAGACTATTAAACATTTGTGATTTTCATAAGGGAAGTATAATCAAATCAGTGTGTAGAAAGGTTGACAAGCACCTCAAACTTAATCCCACTTAAATTAATGACGTGAGGATTTCAATGTAAACATAAGTAAGCTCTGGGTTTATTTCACTTCTTTCTGCTTTATTGACATTTCTTTGAAGTTGTTACTATAAACATTTCCAGTCTTCCAAACTTTTTCTCTTCTGTTTTTCTGCACACGGAAAGTGCTCCAGTTAAATAGTAGTATAGAGGTTTTTTTACAAATAACTCAAAAATGATTTCTAAAATGATATACATTCATGTACAAACCTACTTAGTATTGGCCTTAAGAAGCAATGCACCAATAAGTACTAGAGAAGAAAAAGCTTCCCAAATATAATTACAGAAGTATCAGGACTCTACTGGCCTCCACAAAGTATCCTTTCCCACTCAAAGATACCTGAAATTCATTAATAAACATACTTGTTCAGATTTTCTTTCTGTACTTACATTAAAATCTAAGTAGCATTAGGAGAGATAAAATCATTACATAAATTCATAGAGGTATAAATAATAGATAATTAGTAAGTTATTTACTGTAGGCTTTAACAAAATTTAAGGACCCCTTTACCTGAAAGGGGAGAGTGTACCGTACAGAATAAAACAGTTATAAAAACAGAAACAGTTTTTGAAGAAAGGCTAAGACCAATATCAGTTAATAAAAACTGTTTTGTCAGCTAAAACCACAAAACACTGTGAAGTTGTGAGGGCTGTCTTTTTTAATTCTACATCTTCTAAAATGTATCTTATAAAATGTATCTTATCTTATCTTATAAAATTCTACATCTTATAAAATGTATAAGCTGTAGATTGAAAATACAATGCATAAATTGACATAAACAGATACAAATTAACTAAATAAAATAAGTCACCTAATGACCACCAGAACAAATTAAAAACATATACCCAGATGATCCTGAGTATTCATGGTAGTTAAGTTATATAAAGTTTCTGAAAACACTGAATTAGTGAATTCTGATTCATTGTTCCTGGGAAACTACAGATTAGGTTCTTATGAACTTCCGGTCACAAAATTTTTGCCAATCAATCAATACACAACCTTGTTTTATGTGTATTTCTGTTGAAAGACAACTTAATATATATTGCCAATTCATGAATACGACTTGCAGGCAACCTCATTATAACTCATGCCTGAACAATGTTTATATAACACATATATTTTCTCCATTAAGGCACATCAGAGCTGGGAGTATGCATGTCAGATGACTCAAATATTTTGCAACTCTGTGCGTGTCCATAAATGACCTAGAAAGCACCATGAGTATTGATTTGGGGGTTACAAATACATTTTAATTGGTAGGCAAATTTGTAAATATAGAATCTATAAATAATGAATATTGGCTATACCTGGATTTTGATGCTGGTTTAGTACTTACTTGTATGATACTAAGTTAATGGCATATGTTCATTTGCCTTACCTAAAAGATTTAGATGCTATATTAGAACATCTCTAAACTCCTTGTCACTTCTGAATTTCTTAGAACCCAGGATCTAGTCTAAAGTGAGCTACATGGCATATCAGGTTGTACATAATCCAAATTTGTCTTACCTACCTATCTCAACTTGTTTCCTTTTACATAGAAACTTATGTGTCTTTGATAAAGGAATGATATATTCATTGCCACCTACCAATAACCACGCACTCACATACTCTCTTACCTATAATCCATCCATTCTTTCATCTTTCCCATTATCATGTATTAATCACACATCTCATGATGTTGAAGATATGGTGATTGACAAGACAGGTTAAGATCCCTACCCTTTGGTGATCATATTTTAGTGAGAGAGATAGTAACCATGTAAACAAACAGATCCATAACAAATTCCAGTAGTTATAAGTGCAATAAACTAAAATAAAATAAGAATGGTTTACAGACAATTGTAGGTTAAAAAAATATTTTAGAGTTACCAGGCAAGGACTTTTTAAGGAGATGATGATAAAGCAGAGATCCAAACGAAATGAAAGGAATAAAAGCAGGAACTTAGAGGTATCAAGAGCATCAGGGACCAGAAGACCAGAGGGGCTGACTCAGAGAGTGAGAAGGAGCTTGGGACCAATCATGAGTTGTCTTGGTCCATGATCATTCAGTCTGGGTTCTGTTTTAGGTGTAATAGAAAACTCCTGAAAGAACTTAAGCATAGTGCTATGACATAACTTACATTGTAAAAATATCACTCTGGGTGTTGTGTGGAGATCAGGATATGTAGGGCAAGAGTAGAAACATGAAGCTCTTACTAAGTTCCAAGAGAAGGAATAGCTGCGGGAACAGGGTAGAGGCCAGAAAGTGGGATAAAGTGGTCATGTATGGGGCACTGTTGGAGACAAAGCAAATGAAATACATGGATCGGTTGGCCTCAGGGTCTAAGAGAAAAGTTGAATCAGGGATATTCCTTGACTAAACAGTCAAACGTACTGAACTAGTAAATGCTAAAATAGGGAAGACTGAAGAAGAGTGGGTTAGTGAGTAGGATGAGAGAATCAAAGATTTGGTTATGGTCATTTAAAGATGAGAGACCTATCCGACATTTAAATATGTCCAGTATATTAATGAAGGAGAAAGAAACATAAGGAAATACAGTGAAATGAAGAACTGATGGGAACCTAGAAATAACAGATAAAATGTACTGTCAGCCAAACTATGACAGGACTTTTCCCCAATCCCAAATCTTAGTAATAATTTATTCATTCACTCAATCAACAAGTATTTTTTAAACAACTACTCTGTGTCAGCCACGGTTCTAAGTGCCTGAGATGTAAATCTTTCCTATCTGTCCTTACACTATCCTATTGTTGAAGAATATCACTGTAACTATATTGGCATTAAAAAAAAATAACAACACCTGCAAACCAACTAAACCTTCTGTATCTCGGAAATTGTATCACAATTTTTAGATGCATGGAATTAGTTTTATATGCCTTCTCTATAATAGTCTATCATTTCTATAATAGAATTGCATAAAACATTCAATTATATATTGAAAGATAGTTCATCTCAGTTATTTGCAACATCACAAAATTACAAATAAAGCAGTCATTAGGCAGCTAATTTTTCACTGAACAAGATATTTTGGTCTAAATAGTAGGTGAATCCTACCCAATTTTAGTTTACTATTAACAATAAGGTGGTTTATTTGAAATTTTTATCATATTATCGATCGATTAAAATAATAAAATTCCGGGCACCTGGGTGCCTCAGTTGCTTAAGCATCCGACTTTGGCTCAGGTCATGATCTCATGGTTCGTGGGTTCAAGCTCTGCATTGGACTCTGTGCTTACAGCTCAGAGCCTGGAGCCTGCTTCAGATTCTGTGTGTGTGTCTCTCTCTCTCTGCCCCTCCCCCACTCACACTCTGTCTCTGCCTCTCTGTCTCTCAAAAATAAATAAACATTAAAAAAAACTTTAAAGATCAAAATTCAAATATGAGTCAAATAATTTCAAGAATTAAGTTTTCCAAAAATGCAAGATTATCAGGAGCATATACTACAATCTCATGATCACATAAGAGAAGATGATTTTTCATGATAAAAGGAAATATGTCTGGGAAATTAAATGGCACATGCAAAGGGGTACAGGCAAGTATCAAAGAAACTTCGTACACAGACTGCAGGTTGAGGTGAGAGGTTCTCTGGGTTTATGGGTAACATCTGGATTCCCCTGGTGTTTCTGCCACGGAGATACCGACACCACCACACTCACTGCACTCAGTGGCAAGTATACTCTGGCAGAGGACGGAGTTCTCTACAGGCTTCTGATTGCCTTCTAATCAGGGAAGAAATCATCTCTAATAATGGCATCTGGATCTCTGACCCTTGTATGAACCTACTCACACCGTCTCATCATTCCTTCCCACTTCACCTTGGGGTCTCGATTTCTAGGCTGATTCTTTGCTGTAAAATACCAAGGAGTTCTTGACAAATTCCCCCACCTCTTGGCTTCTAATCCTGACTCAGTTCCGCCTGTCCCACTAAAATGACTCATTAGCCAGCTTGGTAGTTTTGCACCCAGACTTTGCTACAGAATTCTGACTAACCTTTGGTTTATTGTGCCCTTGTCTCATAACGTAATGTTGGTGCCAATCTCCTCCCCAATATAAGTTTTTGATGAAACTGAAAGCTAAAAACACTTAAATCTCTATTTCTGATATGAAAAGTTTTCTGTGCAATGGTAAAAAAGTGAAAAATGGATTTTCTCCATAAGACAACAACAAAAAATGCTGGTCTACCTTTTAACCTCTTAGTTTACAAGAGAAATAAAAGTTCTATTATTTAATGGACTCTTCAAGCAGTCTTGTGAAAGAAGCCTGTGCATTTGTCAAAGGAAACTATTGTCAGTACTTCAAACATTCTAATTCAAATGGCACGGTTAATATAAACTCACTTTAATCTTCTTGAAAATGTCTGCAACAGGAGGAAAGAAGGAAAAAAAAACAACCTCTTTCACTCTTGATGTTACATTTTTATAGGCAATCCTTTGCTTCTCCTCTGATTAAAAAGTGGATTCTCCGGTTCTCTGCTTATTTAATGAGGATCCCCTTAAATGGCACTGTCATTTATGGAGGATCTGTTCCGTGAAGGTTGCCTAAAAGACTTTACCTCAAAGGCCTGAAAGGTCAATCCAACATAGTAGTCTTCTGACACTGTTATTTTCCACACACATTCTTTCATCGGTCTGTAGTCATCAGGATAATTAGGAGACTGAATCTGTCCCTCATTTTTACGTATCTCGCCTCCACAGATTGCTGAGGGCAAAAATAAACAAATATATAAACCCAGACACGCCATTTCATTTTCATTTTCTTCTGAGATAACATTTTAGTTCAGTGCCTGAAGCTGAGTACATAAAGACCGGGTTATAAAAATCAAAGTTGGCTGCTTGCACTGTTGTAAAAATTTAGATGGCAAAAACATGGCCAGTTAACTATAAATATCAGATAATCGCAGAGAAATATAGGATTTTTTGGGTCACTATTTACATCTTTACAAAACACAGCATTCTTTTTAACTTTTAAAAACCTTTTGAGATTTTGTAAATGTATTCTATGTGTTAGAATATTCTATCATATGCTGTATGATTCTCTGAACTGGTTCTTACAGTCTTTTGACCTCAAGTAAAATAGCTGATCAAGAGGGATGCTCCACAGAACTCTCTGGGCCTCTGGCAGTGAGCTAGCATCATGTGTTCAACATCTGTGGCTCCATCCAAATCATCCTTTTCACTGCCATACAGTTAATCTCTAAAACAAAATGCTTCTGTTTTCTTAAAAGTTTAAGGGAAGTGGAAATCTTCTGTCTTCTAAATTACCTAAACTCCTGTGCTAGTAGAGGCAGGAGCTAGGAAGGTCTCTTCGGCCCACAACCTGGCAAGAAATGAGCTGCTTTTAAAGCCAGGATGCACAATGCCCATTTATTGTTTAAGAGAAGTATAGAACAGAGTGTCTAGTAAATTCTCCCTTGAATGCTGAGTCTCTCACTTAGACAAAGTGTGCCCTAGAAATGTGCACAATTGCTTTCTTTGCAGTTTCCTATAACAGGATTTCAGCAATATAGGGACCAAATAGACACAAATCTAGTACAAATGAAAAATCATAATTTCTTCATGACATTTTAATACCATCATGGAAACAGATGGAAATTTAAGAGCTCTTGTGCCATTTCCCCCTCACACACCCCTGCATACATTTATATGCTACTATGTCACTGGTACCAAAAACCAGGTTCTTCTTGCAATTTAAATGTACCAAGTACTTTTCTGAAAATCAGTTTTGTGAATATCGTAACACAGATTTAGAAAACTTCGTAATTCAAAAATAATGGGTTACAATATCATTCCGATGAGACTGAGAGAAAGGACATTTCTGCTAAGAGATCTAAGGGGAAGCAATCTCTAAAACTTAATGTGACTTGCCTTCATAGAGAGCTGCAAAGCCTTTTCCCACCCAATTACTGCTGCTACGAAACTCAATCCACATTCTGCTGTCTGTAGAGGTAAGAACGTCAGGCAACTTGTCCCCACAGAATCTACCTAAAAGAAGTAAAAGAATAAAGAGAGACTCCTAAATATGACTCTATATTCTAATTGCTTTCCACACTAGCTACAAATCATATATATGATTTGTATATATCATATATATATGATACACACACACACACATATACATATATATAATACCTGACTTAGTTCCAATACTCTATCCTGAGTAACTAGAACTAGAAGTATGCTTTAATATTTACTTAATAAAGATGGATAAATAAAATAATCTCTTCATATCTATTTATAATATATAGGAACATACTGTCCTCAGATTAACTGGATGGTGTCAGTATTACTGTCTATAGAATTAGGAAACAACTAGGGTAAAAGACATATTTATAAAAGGTCACATGATACATTAAGGTCGAGAATATTCTTTTATGGAGAACAGAAAACAGTACAAAGGATCTGAGAACACAGTGGCCACTGCAGAGTAGTAACTTGGTGAAGGATGTGTCTCAGCCCGAAGTGGAGCTCTTTGTCTAGTCCAGCTCAATGACGACCCATCAGGGAGACCCACATACTGCTCCATAGACCTTACATTACTGCACACATTCTAGTTCATAAATAAAGTTGTAATCTGCAGTGCAGTAGGCAGGAAGGCAAACAGTACCTGAAGCCTTGTGTATGAGTTCTGATTATTTTTAATTGTGTATCCACAGCGGAGTAATACCAAATGAATATAATAATACCTGTCATTTCTTCTTTCTTCCCTCAACCTTCTACAAATATTTATTGGCTCACTGTATGCCTACCACTGTGCTTTAAATTTTCATATGATGGTTAAATACCGCAGTCCACATGAAATAATTTTACAAACAATACATTGTCATCCATTTCTGTGTGCCCCCGGCAGGGATGTCATATGTAAGTTTAGTATATGAAAAAATGATAGTCAACTTAAATTCATACTAAGAGTCAACAGATGAAGAAGTGTCTTCCTAAATGGCAAAGTAAATTAGGAACATGCAAAAGAGAGTAGTGTTTCTTAAACTGTAATGTGCATATGAAATGCCAAGGAGTCTGGTAAGATACAGTCTCTAATTCAAGAATGGAGTGGAAACTTAATATCTACATCACTAACAAGTGATTCTGATGTTGCCAGTCTGGTGGCTATACTTTAAGGATCAGGCGTTGGGGGAAAGAGTGCGAAAAACTTTCCACAGAAAACCATGATCAGGCTGAACCAGTCTGGTGGACCACTACAGACGCTGATAGCGTCCTAAAAAAGAAGTGTACTTCAATATTTAGCTTTAGATTTGGCTCTTCAATATGAATTTAATGAAATGTGTTCTTTGGGACACACATACGTACAATACAAACTGCTTCGCCTAGGCTAAGAAACGAAGTGTTCAAGACAACATGCTCCTCAATCTGACTTATCAAATTAGTTCAACTCTATTTTTTCTGTTATTTTTAAACACTTTTAGAATCTCTTGGACTTCCTAAGACTTTTAACATACTTTAAGATACAACAGCGTTCATTCAGCAGGTTTTAGATATTAAGAAAAAGGAAGTTCTGTATGGCACATAAACACAACTGAGCAGAACTACTCCTAAAAATAAAGGTAAAGTTGTCATTTCAAAAAAATCAATATAGAGTAGATACTTCATGCTCACAACAGCTCTCACCTTTAAGCAAAACAGAGGGCAACAGTAAAATGCTTCATGCAAGTTAATGGTGTGGTCTGTGGTTAAACTTTGGCAGTGGACTTTTGTGAGCACCAAATCTGAGCTACAATTTATGATACAAAGTACAAATGCTTCTTCTCAGCCACAAAAAACTCCCTGGGAAGCAAAACTGTGAGGCCTAGAGGAAGAGCTAACACGCGTGGCAAAAGAAATCAGCCACCAAACATGTCCCTAACGGCTCATATTCCACTGCAGTAGCAAACAAAACAAAACACACATATGTACACTCAGATAATTGATCTGGTTTGTACATTAAAATAATGCTTAAATTAAAAATATATAGGCGAAAGCTACTCTAAATCATTATACTCAGAGCCAAGTATTTCCTCATAATGTAAGCTACTTTAATGTCAATCTATTTATTTGTATTTTTGCTGAGGTTGAAAGGGGTATAATAAAAATTAAAATGTGGACCCCATACATTTTTAACTCTAAGATAACTCTTGAGTGAATCTATTTTGAGGGGCACCTGGGCGGCTCAGTTGATTAAGCATCCGACTTTGGCTCAGGTCACGTTCTCTGCATTCGTGAATTCAAGCCTCGCGTTCGGCTCTGTCCTAAGAGCTCAAAGCCTGGAGCCTGACTCAGAATTCTGTGTCTCTCTCTCACTCTGTCCCTCTCCCTCTCACATTGTCTTTCTCTCTCAAAACTAAATAAACATTACAAAGATTTTTTAAAAATCTACTTTGGGCAGGACAGACTATATGCATGGTCACATAGAGGGTAAGTAGTCTCTTACCAAGGAGAGGCGATTTCCTCCAGTACCCATCTCTTACTTCAATGTAGTCATACCAGCACAAACTGCTCTTGTATAGGTCCATTGTAGTAAAATTTAAAACAATCTGCAAAGTAGAGCATAACAACACAAAGAGGAAAATGACTGTAACCGCACATGCTAATTTGATTCCTGGAGATTAGGAACCCAGGACTACAATGAAAACAGATTCATAGCTAATTCTTCTTCTTTTTTTTTTTTTTTCTGTTAGTATACCCTTCATATATTTTCTTGACAAAAGCCTCAAAAAAAGAAAACCTTTTCTCATTCCCATTGATATTTGATAATATAGAGACACAATGTCAAGTTAAACTAAACATTTTAGCAATTAAAGCAAAGTTTCTGTAGAAATAGTTTAAACAATTGTGAGACAAACAGAAATCTTTATTCAAATAGTTTGTTTTGAATGCTTTAAGATAAATATGACTTAAACCATGAGACATTCTGATTTTCCCATGAATGTCTTCTTTTTAATAATTTATTTCAAAGACGAGTCAGACGTCTACAATTATGTTAAAAATTACCACCATGTGCCATGTTCCAAGAACATAATATCATTGTATATGTTGAAATGTTTTAAATACAAATTTGAATGTGTCCATGTAACTATAATCAAAGGCAGATGTCACTACACTTCTCTAGATCCAAGAATATATATTCAAAGACCTTTCAAGTTATAAGATCTTGCACATGCCTCTTTATTCTGTACTTTGTTTTGAAATGATGCTGCTTTTTGTTAAGATAATTCAGATAATTCAAGAATGACTCTAAGAAGGACAGTTTTCTTACTGCTTTATAACAACTCTTTATTTTTCAAATAATTAACTCTTCTGGATTACACTAAATGCAGAGCCAAACTAACATGAGAAATATACCCACCTGAAGTAAAATTCACTTGGGAAATAGGGTTTTTTATTTGCAAAAGCTCATTCTAAATGTTATTCTGCGTAAAGTATCTAAGATACTTACCTGATGTGTGTAGTAAACCTCTTTTTAACTCTGGAAGTTGAAATAGACTTTGGCCTAAAGCAGCAAATTATGAGTATTTAAATAAATGCTTCGGTGACAATATAAAAATCTGAATGTAAGAGAACTCTCAAGCTCAAGAAATGAATAAAGTATATAAATCATCTATGAGTGCTAAATCCATATTCCAGAAAAGTACTACCATTTTTGTGTAAGAAAACATCTACTTCTCCCCTTTCTTGAACATAATACTTAACAGAACATAAGTAACTAATTACAGCAAATCAATCCTTTTTTAAAGTTTTTTAAAAATACGTTTTTATAGTTTTTTAAAAAACATTTATTTTGAGAGAGAGAGCAAGCTTGAGTGGGAGAAGAGCAGAGAGAAGGAGAGGGACAGAGAATCCCAAGCAGGCTTCAACTACTAGCATGGAGCCTGATGTAGGGCTCAAACTCATGAACCAGGAGATCATGACCTGGGCTGAAGTCAGATGTTTACCTGACTGAGCCACCTAGGCATCCCTATGTCAAATCAATCCTAAACTAGCTTACTTCTTACAAGAATTGAAGATATAGCATAACAATAAATATTTCATGCCATCTTGTATTTCAGCAACACAATGATCATCATTGAAACTGTACACCAAAGTTGGTTATAATTGCCCATATAAATACTCATTTTATAGAGATAGAGACTAAGAATTTGTCTAACTATAATGAAAGTTTGTACTTTATAATGGCATTAACATTTCACCATTAAACTCAACCTTTTTTGATTTCCTTAAACATGTACTTTCTTAATTCCAAAAAGATGAAATCTCCCAAAGACATGAAAGTAGAGACACACTGTTCTGTTTTTTAATGTAACACAATAATGGAGCATTTTAATTGTTCATTTATTTCTGTGTACTTTATTTATAGTTTCTCTTTTTCCTTTGTTTTTCTTTTCCTTCACCTAATTTTATCATTTGAAATATTCTCAAAAATGTTACAAGAATTTCCAAAATATCCAAGGATGCCAGACTGATCATATTTTCCTTTCTTTTTCAGTAACCCTCAACACTTGAGTATGAAAATGTGTAGTTTCAATACATTTTTTTCTGAAGTTCCCAATAGGTTTTCTACTCCATCTCTGAATACCAGTGCAACATTAGGTTCTTCTTATGACATAATTGAGAAATAATTTCTGGTTTTTCTCCTTAATTTTGTATTTACTTTAAGCCTGCTACAAATGGGAAACACTACCACTGCCTGATATTAGGTTTCATTCTACATTTGTGTTTTCTCTACAGCAACCACCAGGAATTCGAATCTGCAGGATCATATAAGAACTCAGTTATTATAGTAAAGATGGCAAAACTGGAATTTAGACACAAACAGTATACCCTAAGGCTCATTTTATGGCTTCCTTCTTGGATCTAAAGGTGAATATTATAATGGTGTGCAAATAGTTTCACTTCCTCTTCTAGGAGGGGAAAAACAGCTATATTAGAAGTATGTATATCATCAAGTTGTATTCAGAATTGAAACAATGTGGTTGGATTGCTAACAAGTAGCTAATATTTGAAAGTTTGGAACACACACACACACACACACACACACACACAGTTGGAAGGGGGATAACTCTAAACAGAAAAGTTTCCTATCTTGTTTTTAATCTTCTATTTTAAACGCCAAGCACTGTGAAGGAACAAAACTGGCTGACTTTAATATAAAACACAGAGTCCTTTAGAAGCAGAAAATGTAATAAAGATAGGTTTTCTAAAATCAAATCTTAGGGCTCTGACATAGAAATAAAATGCTGGCCTTTGACTGAGGTTGCTAGCAGAATCCATACTTAAATTGCAAATCAAAAGCACTTGGAAAATATCTGCTTGTCTTATATTATATTATTTTATGTAACTATGTTACATCTTTTTAAAGGAATGATGAAGGAAAACTGCCTAACACAATTATATAAATGTTTATATCTTATTGTAAATACCAATTTAGCATTATCAATTTAAAATTAATCATGGCTCCCTTAGAACATGAGATTGAAGGAGATACAAGGAATAATTCTAAGATTTCCTGTGATCTGTAATGAGTCTTAGTTCCTACTCAACAACGTTAAATTGATACAACTGCTGTGGAGTTTGCTTTTTAAAACTTTTTGCAGAGTGTAGCATCTTGAAGAAAGGCAGATCAACATTCAAGGGGCTGGATGTCTGCCTATCTCCAGAGAAAAAAGTAATCAAAAAACTATTGGCAGCATAATTAAGACATTATTGACTACCTAAACAAATTCCATGAGCACCACAGAAGGACTAATTAGAATAACATTTATTCCTTACAGTGCTGAGGATGAGGAAGACACAAATCTTGTCAATTAGACTGATGTCATTAAATGGCTCTTTAGAAAAAAAAATATTAGAATCAAAAGCAGTAAAACAAAATAGATTTCTGGGTTCCAGCCAGAAGAAGCTTGGACAAGCCTAATAATCCCTAGGGAGACTACAGGTTTCTTCTCAGGAATAAGACTAAAAGGTGAGAAGATCAATAAACTATACTCCATCGGTCAAATCTAGCCTTGAGTCAGTTTTTGTAAAAGTTTGTTGGACCCATTCCTTTACATATTATCTGTGATTGCTTTTGCAATACTACAGAATTGAACATTTGAAACTCTATAAACTGTATAAACAAAGATATTTACTGTCTATCCTTTCCAGAAAAATTTGCCAACTCATGGAATAATTGATCATTATGCTTTTGTTCAGCCCTGAATTGTATCATGCCAAAGGGATAAATTTACATCTTTTTTCCTGCAACTGGAATCTATTTATGACTGGCCATAGAGAGCCTGGGTTCAAGTTGTAGATTCTTTTTTTTTTTAATTTTTTAATGTTTTTTAAATTTATTTCTGAGAAAGAGAGAGGTAGAGATAGAGAGAGAGAGAGAGAGAGAGAGAGAGAGAGAGAGACAACGTGAGCAGGGGAGGGGCAGAGAGAGAAGGAGATACAGAATCTGAAGCAGGCTCCAGGCTCTGAGCTAGCTGTCAGCACAGAGCCCGACGTGGGGCTCAAACCCATGAACCATGAGATCATGACCTGAGCCGAAGTCAGACACTTAACTGACTGAGCCACCCAGGCACCCCTCAAGTTGTAGCTTCTTGGTTTCCTAGTTTACTTAAACTTTCTTAGTTTGAATGTATTTTCTTACTGTAAAAGCCCTAGAAGCTATAATATCAAGCTGGTCTCAGTAGAGTTAAATCAGAAGGATTTAATTGGATAATGTTAGAAAACCACTAAGGTAATCTGAAAGCACTGTTAAGATCCTCATGTATTAATATTTTCATGGCAAATATAAATCCTCACAATGTAAATTCTGAAGACAATTATCAAATAAATGAAACTAGTGACCCAATTTATGTAATCCAACTATGCTGGGAAACATAAAAATATCAACTTAATTTTAAGGTTCCACAGGAAAATCACTACATTAAAGTAAGGGATTCTTACTTTAAAATCTAAAGAACAGACAGGAGAACCTGGGGCCTTGGCTCAGGTCCCTGCTTTACAACAAATTAGTTGTATGAGTCAGGTAGATCCCTAATTCCATCAAAGCTTTATTATATGACAGGTGATAAACAGGCATTGCATTATGCCATAAAAGTGATTTCTCTGCTTAAAATTATATAATACCTGGATTTTGACATTTTGATGTGTCATTACAAACTCCTCACAGGAATGTACTTGACATCTCTTCCTTAATTCCTACTCCACCCAATACCTAACCAATTCCAGCTTGCACAATTCCCCTAATGTTCTCCTTCCATTTTCACTGACCATGCTCTCCATACCTCTTTGCATTAACTGAAATAATTTCACAAGGTGTGTTTTGGTTTTCAGGTTCACTTGTCTCCAATTCATCCTACCTGTATCGCCACTTTAATCCCTTCAAAGTTGGGCACTAATGGCTTCACACACAACTTAACGTAAATTTCTAGGCTTGGGCATCACTATTGTAGAGCCATAACCCACCACTGCTGCCTCCTCTTTCAATACCTCAAGCACAGAATCTTCATCCCTCCTATTCCTGACTTCTTGCTGGTGTGGCCTGAAA